ACACACCTGAAGGGGCAGGACCCTGAGGAGGGAGGGGGTCTACCGGGGGGGGACCTGGTACAAGGAAGAGCGCGGGGGGGGGGAGGGACGGAGTGCGGTAGGGGAAGAGGCGGTAGTAGGGGACCGACTCGTCAAACGTGACGTCCTGGGAGGACAGAACACGGCGAGAGGTGGGGTGGTAGAACTGCCACCCAGGTGGAAGATGCAAGGAGCAGCACGAGGGGACAGCTTGTCCGCAGACAAGTCGCGGACAAACGCCCGAGATCCCCAGACCCGTAACGCCGACGCATCGCCAACCTTCCCCGTCCACAGCAAGGCTGGGGAGGTCTCCGGCCTGGAGACCCTGGGGTGGAGGTTGATCTGATGCGCCGCGTACCTCACCGCAAACGGCCACAGAATGGGGGGCAGCCGCATGCATCATAGACGTACGAGCGACGTCCATGAACATGCCAATGCGGCGCTCAGCGATCCCATTTTGCTGCGGAGAGTCCAGAAGCGTGAAGGTCTGATGGATGCTTCGTGCGCGACAGTAGGCTCTCAGAAGGCCAGAGGAAAACTCTCCGCCTCTGTCCGAGTGCAGACGCAGAACACGATAGTCCGAGCCAAAGCTCTGCCTGAGCTGGAGACGAGCTGCGCGGATCCAGTCGATCAGCACCTCAGTGACATCACCCTTGCTGCGCAAGGGGAAGACTCCGGTGTAACGCGAGTAGTCGTCAACAACGAGCAGGAAGTAGCGCTCGTGACCCTGTCCATGGACGCGGGCTGGGCCCCACACATCCATGTGAAGCGTCTGCAACGGGGCCTCTGTAGGAGGAAACTGGGAGGAGTGAGGGGCAGCCCGCTGGCGCCCCTCGACACAGGGAACACAGGTAGGGCCAGGCCCCTGAGGAAGGGGAGGGAGGCACCGGGGGAGACCAGAAACAAGAAGACGGGAGGCCATGCCTCTGAGACGAAGCAGAGAGGGGTGACCAAGGCGATGGTGCCAGAGTAGAGTCTCGTGAGACAGGAGACGATACAAACAGGGGGCAGACTCAGGACCAGACCTGGATGCTGCAGCAAACACCTGACCCGACCCAGCTACCCTACAAGACTCAGCAACTGGAGGAGACGCGGTGGTCAGTGTGTACAGGCTCGACCCCGGCTGATGTGTAAACGTAGCCAAGTGTCGGCCTGTGCGAGCCTCTGTGCAGTGCACCAGTCTCTGACGCGCAGGACTGAACTGGTGCACTCCCCCATCCTGTAGATCAGCACCACTCACCAAGTTCGTAGAGAACGAGGGGAGGTAGAGACCAGACAGGGTGCCAGAGGGAGCCGCCGGACACGGGAGGACTGTGGAGAAGTGAGACAGGACAAGACCCCCAGAGGGGTCAGCCAGAGACACCGCAACCGGCCTACTAAGCGGCGTAAGTGTGGTGCGGTCCCGAAAGAAGGAGCGAGAAGCCCCAGAGTGAAGGGTGAAGGTGAGGGAGGCCGAAGCCGACGGAGTACCTGAGAGCGCAGAATCACCAGTACCTGAGGACGCAGACGCACTAGCACCTAGAGCAGCAGCGTCGCAAGCACCTAGGGCAGCAGCCGCACCAGTACCTAGAGCAGCTGTCTCAATGCCCAGATCGGGCGGGAAACACTGGTAACAGTGACCCTCATCACTAATATTCACAGAATACATGGCAGACAAGATAGCATCAAAATCAAGATCATAGATGGCTACTCCCGCCCTAGACAGCTCGCCCCAGCGAGGGATCTCTGTGGCCTCAGGAAACTGGTGACGCCACGCGTCCGTCAAGCGGCCAAAGCAGCGCTGGGTGGGGTGCGCACCTCCACACTGCTCACCCGCACGGTCGCCGGTGCGCAGGATGTAGGTGCACGGACCAAAACCCCCACCTCGCTGGCGTGCAGTGTACCACTCACGGAGCTGCTGAGGGGACAGGGTCTCACGACCGCGCTGCTGCTGCTGGCACGGATCACCACCGGAGCCACTCCTCCGCGTAGACCCGCGACCAGCTCCACCGCCACCTCCGCCGCCTCCACCGCCTCCGCCGCCTCCGCCGCCTCCGCCACCACCGCCGCCTCCGCCACCACCGCCGCCTCCGCTACCACCGCCGCCTCCGCTCCCTCCACCACCGCCGCCGCCACTGCTGCCACCGGTACCCCCACCTCCTCCACCACTCCCACCACCACACCCACTCCCTCCGCCGCCTCCACCGCCACCTCCACCGCCCCCGCCAGCTCCTCCACCGCCCTTGCCCACCTTGCCCTTGCCTTTACGGCGCTTCCCCGAAGGGGCAGACGCAGCACCGACCGACTCAAAACCAACGAGGTCGGCCGCAGCAGTAGAAGCAACAGAGGGCAAGAGGGGGGAGGGAGAACACCCCTCAAAGACAGGGGTACGGGGGTCACCACGAGAGGCTCCTACAGCGACTATACTCTTCTCCGCCGCTAGGAGGGCCTTCTCGAGGAGGTCAATGGTGAGAGTGGTGGGGCACACTACGAGGAAGTGGTCCCTTACTACGTGAAGGGAGTCAGGGAGTCGGGTGACTATGAAGTAGAGGGTGATGTAGATGGGGGGGGGGGGTTCTTGGCGCAGAAGTCAGCAGGAAGCGCAGCACGGAAGCGAGTGTCACTAGTGCGGAGGTGCGTACTGAGGTCAGCGACTGTGGAATAGGCAGCAAGGTCAGGGAAGAGGTACGGTAGCATGAGACGGCTCAGTGCAGTAGTGGCAGGGGAGGAGTAGCGAGCAACTACAGCGTCGTACAAGGTCTGAGCACTCTTGTACTGACTAAAGTGCGCACGCTCAGAGGTAGGGAGGTGGCGACGCACAGCAAGACGTGCAGCAGCATCGCGCGTGGCCCACTGTGAGCGAATAGTGGCGTCAGCATCAGCAGCAGGAGCAGGAGAGGCACCAGAGGTGAGGTCAAAGAGGGAGAGTCCATCTGCCCTATCGCACTGGAGGAAAAGCTGCAGGTCGTCTACCCAGACGTCAAAGTCAATGGCCCGACCCTCAGCGTCAAAAGCTAGGACACTAGGGGTAGCCATGACAGCAGTAGACTAGCAGCGCGACCAGTAGGGTAAGGGCAGTGCAGGGAGAGAGGCGCCGCACTTACCAGACAGGGCTGCTCGGAAGTAGGGCGGCTCGGTGGCCCGGCGGCTCGGCGGCTCGGTGGCTCGGCTGCTCGGCGGCTCGGCGGCTCGGCGGTTCGGTGGCTTGGCTGCTGGGCGGCTCGGCTGCTGGGCGGCTCGGCTGCTGGGCGGCTTGGCGGCTCGGCTGCTGGGCGGCTCGGCTGCTGGGCGGCTCGGCTGCTGGGCGGCTCGTCGGCTCGGCTGCTGGGCGGCTCGGCGGCTCGGCGGCCCGGCTGCGGCGGCTCCTGCCTCCGTGACGACGGCCCGAGTGTAGGTGGGGCGGCCGTGGGAGAGGAGGAGGAGGCGCCGGGGCCGTGTAGGGTGGCGCACGGTGGGCTGAGCCGAAGGGCGGCTCAAAGGGCCGGGAAGGGCGGCGCCGAGCCGTTAGGGCGGCGCCGAGCCATTAGGGCGGCGCAAAGGGCCGGGAAGGGCGGCGTCGAGCTGTTGAGGGCGGCGACGGGCCGGAAAGGGAGGCAACGGGCCGCGTAAGGGCGGCGACTGGCCGCAGAAGGGTGGCGACGGGCCGCGGAAGGGTGGCGACGGGCCGCAACGGGCAGCAACGGGCCGAGTGAGGGCGGCGACGGGCCGCGTAGGGCGGCGACGGGCCGCGTAGGACGGCGACGGGCCGAGTAGGGCGGCGACGGGCCGCTTAGTGCGGCGACAGGCCGCGTAAGGGCGGCGACGGGCCAAAGAAGGGTGGCGACGGGCCGAAGAAGGGCGGCGACACGACGGGGCCGAGGAAGGCCTATGAAGGGCGCGACGGTGGAGAGGGCACACGAGGCGCGACTCGGGCCTAAGCGTAGCGCGCTCCGGGCAGGAAAAAAATTCTCGGCTTGGTGGGCCCTAGGATCAGTTCCCACTAGGGAACCTGCTCGATAACATGAGAAGAAACGAGAATGAATGAACTATGAAACAAGTGGGTACAATTACTAACCCAACTCCTCTTTCTTCTAAACTTTGTTCTACTATTTCTGACACTTGGGGCTGGTGATCATCAGCGTTTCTGCACTTCTCTTGGCCTTGTGCCTACTCTGCCTCACCTGCTAGTTGCTTGACTTTGCTTTGTACTTTGATCAATATATATACATGTATATATATACGTGCATGCTTGCTCTTGCTATATTGTGATCACTGTAACTCAGCATGTGAACTGGCCTTTTGGCCGCTTGCTTGTGCTTAGACTACGTGGTGATCTTGAAATCCACCCTGAGCTTTGTTTTGCTTTGTTCCTTTGCTTGACTGGTCTTGTGACGGCCTGTTGTGTTTGCTATTCCCCACTTTGCCTATGGGGGTGTGTCAAATTGCATTTGTTATCTCTAGGCTGTGGTGGGGCATACTTGAAGAAGTACAACACATTAGGTGTCTACCGGGAGCCACGTAGCGAGCCAGGAGGCTGAGAGGGTACGCGAGGTCAGGTTGTGTGCACGTCATCAGGTACATGAGGCAACCCACAAGCTTTGGATACGGACCACTCGCCTCTACGGACTCGTCCGAAGGTGGAGCTGAGAGCGAGTGACCTGTAGGCAGAGGAGTGGGTTGTGGCGAGGACCAAGTGAAGCCGAAGCGCTAAAGGACCTGGTGCACCATGTGTGGCCGAGTCAATGTGATGGTGCGCCGTGCTCTGTCCCGGGTGATCTGCAAGCAAAGGTAGCTCCGCAACTCACCAAGGTCAATGCAGGTGTTACTCTCCTGCAGCTTTGCCTTCACTAGGGCCAGTGCCTCAGTGTCAGCAGTAGCAGAAACAAAGTCGTCGACGCACACGAAACGTAGAACGGCGGCAGGGAAGTGTCGGTGCGTAGAAACAGCGACGAGTCAGCGTAGGAAGGAGCAAACCCAAGAGTCGTAAGTGTCGTCCTCAGTGTGTCGTGCCTTTTGCGGGGCGCCTAGCGGAGACCGTAGACTGGCCGCCGAAGGCTCCGCTGGGTACCCTCAGGAAACGACCCAGTGAAGCCAGGTGGGTGGCGCAGCCAGATCTCCCCGTGAAGGCTGCCTTGCAATAAAGTTGTGGAGAATTCGAGGGAATGCAGCTCGTACTCACGCTGTGCTGCAACGTGCAGCAACACCCGAAGAATAGTCATCTTTGGGGTGGGGGAGAAGATCAGGAAGAAGTTGACCCCCTGTCGCTGACTGAAGCCTCGAGCAACGTAACGCGCCTTGAAGGCAGGCAGAGAACTCGGCGGCCGTTTCACTCTGAAAATCCACATGCCATTGCCTATGTTCGCCCAAGGAGGGGGAACCTCGTCGACACAGGTGCCTGTGGACTTCCAGGAAGCCATCTCTGCGTCCATGGCTATCTGCCACTGAGAGGAGTACTCATCCGCAATCGCCTCAGCGTAAGAGCGCGGGATAGGGATGCCAAGTGCATCCGGGTCTCCCTCGGGGCAAAGCAGCATGGACGCGGAATGAGGTAGAGCGGCCGCGAGAAATTCAAGCTCAAACTGTCTGTCCTCAAGGACGTCACTGCTAAGGGCAAGCTCACCCCCGACGGACAGAAGACAGACAGACTCAGACTCAGTAACCAGACTCGTGATGGAGTCGAGACAACGGCTAGCTGCAAAGTCGACTAGCTCAGTGACTAGGGCAAACGCACCAAGAGACTCAAAGGAAGGGTCAGTGACAACGGTGGCGAGGGGACGAGTGACAATAGGACTAGCAGCACGAGCAAGGTCGGTCTCAGGGTCAGGAACGTCAGGAAGAGAGGATGCCGGAGGAGACGGTAGAGCAACACGTTGTGGAACAGAGGAAGGACGAAGTGCCATAGTGTGCATATCGGGGATAGGTGGAGGACGAGAACGACAAGCACGACTGACAGTGCGAACAAGGGATGCAGGACGAGACTCAGGCTCACGACACTCTGACAGGGAGCCTGTCCGCTCAGGGTAGGGAGAAAGAGCAGAAAATGGAGAGCCATGCTATAGCTGCGGCTGTGACTGGTCAGGCGGAGGATACGGGAGAGGTGGAGTAAGGCCAGTGGAAGACGAAAGACTAAGAACCTGACGAAGTGCCGAGTCAGGCGGTGGCAGGGATGACTGCGGCCGCGGATAGAAAAACGGTCAGTGCGATATAGTAGCCGTACCGCCAGTAGCGCTAGCACCTCCAGCACCTCCAGAACCTCAAGAACCACCAGCTCCAGCACCTCCAGTACCTCCAGCTCCAATACCTCCAGCTCCGGCAGCTCCAGTACCTCCATGACCTCCAGCTCTAGCACCTCCAGCACCAGCAGCTCTCGCACCTCCAGCACCAGCAGCTCCATTACCTCCAGCACCTCCAGCTCTAGCACCTCCAGCACTAGCAGCTCTAGTACCTCCAGCACCAGCAGCTCTAGTACCTCCAGCACCTCCAGCGCTAGCACCTCCAGCACCAGCAGCTCCTTCACATCCAGTTTCAGCAGCTCTAGCACCTCTAGCACCAGCAGCTCCAGTACCTCCAACACCTCCAGCTCTAGTACCTCCAGCACCAGCAGCTCCAATACCTCCAGCACCAGCAGCTCTAGTACCTTTAGCACTAGCACCTCCAGCACCAACAGCTCTAGCACCTCCAGCACCAGCACCTCCAGCACCTCCAGCACCTCTAGTCCTAGCACCTCCAGCATAGCAGCTCCTGCACCTCCAGCACTAGCACCTCCAGCACCAGCAGCTCTAGCACCTCCAGCACCAGCAGCTCTAGCACTTCCAACACTTCCAGTACCAGCAGCTCCAGCACCTCCAGTACCAGTAGCTCTAGCACCTCCAGCACCAGCAGCTCCAGCACCTCTAGCACCAGCAGCTCCAGCACCTCCTACACTAGCAGCTCCAGCACCTCCAGCACTAGCAGCTCCAGCATCTCCAGCACCAGCAGCTCTAGCACCTCCAGCACCTCCAACTCTAGTTGCTCCAGCACCAGCAGCTCCAGTACCTCCAGCATCTCCAGCTCCAGTACCTCCAGCACCTCCAGCTCTAGCACCCTAGCACTAGTAGCCCTATAGCCTCCACCACCAGGACTGCCTCGCCGAACAACCCAGTCGCGAAGCTGCTGCGGCGAGACGGACTCCTGCCGACGAGACTGCATCCCCAGTATCACCACCCCCAGCAGCACCATGGTCCACAGCGACAGGCTGCGGAGGCGGCGAAGACGACCGAGGCGGAAAACCAGGAGGGGCTCCAAGCGCGGGGAGCGACGAGTGTTAGAGACTAAGGACAGAGTCTATGAAGATTAGGAGCCAAAATATCTCAACATCGTTGGGCCTAGTTTCTGAACAGAAAAGTCGAGTTCACAAGAAACGCCGTCGACAAAAAGTGCACGGTCAAAACTTCACCAAACTCAGATATGTTGTAGCCCTACTCCGTGGCTACAATTCCCAAGTTGAAACGTGTCAAGAGGTGAAGTAAATCACGACTTATTAATTTCAGCGCACAGGGGGGTATGCTGCCATAAGAACTTAACTCAATCACAAAGTTCACACAAGTTCACAATTACCACACAAAGAAGTTAGAGTAGCACTAAACCAGGTGGAAGGGATGAGGAGGATTAGAGGGAAGGTCCCAAGAGAGTCCCCAACCAAGGAAACCCCATGCCATACAATTCCCTTCCCCATAGGCAACCCAACTTTGACCTTTGTCACTATCCCAACCTCCACAATCCACCTCAACCCAACTCGGCCACACTTGCCAACCTGGTTTGGTTTCTCCCAACCATTTGGCAGCAACTACAGTAGAAAAGACGAATTTCCCAACCCCCAAAAAGTCTGTACCCCATATTGAGTCAACCCCCCAACTTCCCATAGTCACCACAACCAAAGATCAAAAGCATACGAACTCCAACGTTCGTAACTTTCTTGTTCGTGCTCCGATTGAAGCGATACTTGGTTCGTCGGAAAGCTCCTGAGCAGAGGAGTCACTTCAGATATCTACTCAAGCTGAATAACATTCACACACACACTCAGAAAAACCAAACCGCACAAAACACAAATTCTTGCACACACTCACAACACGCATGCAACGCACGAACATATGATGGGAGGCAGACAAACGTGAATGCGAATGGTAGCATCACTCAACAACGAGTAGCCGCTGTATCATCAACAGTGGGGTCATCCCCCTCAGCTGGGCTAGAGGTGTCAGAGGAGACCTCCAAAGGCTCAACCAAGGGGGGTGGGTCGACCTGAGACACACCCGAGGGAGCAAGACTTTGTGGGGGAAGGGGATCTACCGAAGTGGGACCTTGGACTTGGAAGAGGGGCGGCGCGTAGAGTGGGGAAGACGTGTGCGGGTGGAGACGGTAGAAGCAGACCGACTCGTCAAAGGTGACCTCTTGTAAGGACAGGACGCGGTGTGAGGCAAGGTGGTAAAACTGCCAGGGCTGGTCGTCGGTGGGGAAGCCAAGGAAGACGCAGCGGAGGGTGCGAAAAGAGAGCTTGCTCGCGGTGGTATCGTGGATAAGGGAGAGCGCGCCCCAGACCCAAAACGCTGACGAATCGCCAACCTCCCCCGTCCAACACAGTGTAGGCGAGGTCTCTTGCACAGAGACATGGGGCCAGAGGTTGAGGTGATGCGCGGCGTATTGGACCGCAAACGACCACATAAAATGGGGAGCAGCCGCATGGATCATGGAGGTGCGAGCATCCTCCATAACCAAGCCAATGCGACGCTCAGCAATCCCATTCGGCTGTGGAGAGGCCGGAAGCGTGAACGACTGGGCGATGCTCTCCACACGATAAAAGTCCCAAAGGAGGCTGAAGGAAACTCACCGCCTCTGTCAGAGTGCAGTCGCAGGACCGAGAGGTCCTGCTGAAACCGCGCGCTCAGCTGGCAACAAACGGCGATGATCCAGTCAATCAAAACTCGCAGACATCCGCCTTGCTCTGCAAGGGGAAGATCGTGGTGTAGCGCGTGTAGTCGTCAACAACCAGTAGAAAGTAGCGCTCGTGGTCCTATCCACGGACGTGGGTTGGGCCCCACACGTCCATGTGGAGAGTCTGCAGTGGGGCAGTGGTCGGCGGAAACGAGGAGCGAGGAGTGGCGCGCTGCTGCCCCTCGACGTAGGGAAGGCACGGCGGTGCAAGCGACTGCGGGAGCAGGGGAAGGGACCTAGGAAGGCCAGAGACAAGGAGACGAGAATGCATGCCACGCAGGTGCGGCAGGGAGGGGTGACCAAGACGGTGGTGCCAGAGGAGAGTCTGGTGCGAGAATAGCCGCCACAAACAAGACGCAGCTACCTGTGCAGGTGGTCAGTGTGTACAGGCCAGACCCAGGGCTCCGAGTGAACGTGGCAAGGTGCTCGTACAGTTCGCCACAAGGTATCCTCCAGGAGTAGTCACATTGACAAACTGGTCCTGGAGGACAGCGTTACTCACCAAGTTCTTAGAGAACGAGGGGAAGTTGTAACCTGTGAGGGATCCCGAGGGGGCTGCCAGGCACGGGAGAACTGTGGAGGCACGTGCTACAATTCGGCCCCCAGAGGAGTCTGTCAGAACTTCATAGCTTATGCTGTTGTGTATGCTATAGTGGGGTATCCCATAGGGGGTACAACCCAATTAGGGTTTCCTATTTGTACTCACTTCATTCATAGTTCATTCATTCTCGTTTCAGTTTTCTCATGGTATCGAGCAGGTTCCCTCGTGGGAACTGTTCCTAGGGCCCACCGTCTTTTTTTTTCCTGCCCGGAGCGCACTCTGCCCCTGCCCGAGTCGCGCTCCCCTCTCTCTCGGCCCCTAGTGGCCCCTTTACCCGCCCCTCCCGGCCCTTAGACGCCCGCGCGCCGCCCGTCCCGGCCCTTAGACGACCGCGCGCCGCCCGTCCCGGCCCCTAGACGCCCGCGCGCCGCCCGTCCCGGCCCTTAGACGCCCGCGCGCCGCCCGTCCCGGCCCTTAGACGCCCACGCGCCGCCCGTCCCGGCCCTTAGACGCCCGCGCGCCGCCCGTCCCGGCCCTTAGACGCCCGCGCGCCGCCCGTCCCGGCCCTTAGACGCCCGTGCGCCGCCCGTCCCGGCCCCGCGCCGCCGTCTCGGCCCCACGCCGCCCGTGCGCCGCCCGTTCCGGCCCCACGCCGCCTGTGCGCCGCCCGTCACGGCCGCGCGCCGCTGACCCGGCCCATCGACGCCAGTGCGCCGCCCGTCCCGGCCCCACGGCGCCCGTGCGCCGCCTGTCCCGGCCCCACGCCGCCCGTGCGCCGCCCGTCCCGGCCGCGCACCACCGTCTCGGCCCCACGCCGCCCGTCCCGGCCCTGCGCCGCCGTCCCGGCCCCACGCCGCCCGTCCCGGCCCCGCGCCGCCGTCCCGGCCCCACGCCGCCCGTGCGCCGCCCGTGCCCCGGCCCGTCGCCACCCGTGCGGTATTCACCCCGGCACCAAGCCGCCTGTCCCGGCTCTTTGCCGCTCGTGCGCCGCCTGTCCCTGCTCGTCACCTACTGCATCGCCGAGCCGCCCCCCACCGAGCAGCCGAGCCGCAGCCGAGCCGCCGAGCAGCCCAGCAGCCGAGCCGCAGAGCAGCCGAGCCGCCGAGCAGCCCAGCAGCCGAGCCGCCGAGCGTTCGAGCCGCCCTTCTTCCGAGCCGCCCGACCTGCACAGTCCGGTGAGCACAGCTCCTTTTGTCACTGCACTACCCCCCACCCTACTGCTTGCACTACTGGTCGTCTAGGGTCATGGCTACTCCTAGTGTCCTCGCCTTTGACGTTGAGGGTAGGGCCATTGACTTTGAGGTCTGGTTAGATGACCTGCAGCTGTTCTTACAGTGCGATAGGGCAGACAGTCTCTCTCTCTTTGACCTCACCTCTGGCACTACCCCTGCCCCTGCTGCTGATGCTGACGCCACTGTTCGCTCCCAGTGGGCCACGCGCGACGCTGCTGCACGTCTTGCTGTGCGTCGCCACCTCCCTACCTCTGAGCGTGCGCACTTTAGTCAGTACAAGAGTGCTCAGACCTTGTACGACGCTGTAGTTGCGCGCTACTCCTCCCCTGCCACTGCTGCACTGAGCCGTCTCATGCTACCGTACCTCTTCCCTGACCTTGCTGCCTTTCCCACAGTCGCTGACCTCATTACGCGCCTCCGCACTAGTGACACTCGCTACCGCGCTGCACTCCCTGCTGACTTCTGCGCCAAGAACCCCCCCCCCCCATGTACATCACCCTCTACTACATAGTCACTCGTCTCCCTGACTCCCTTCGCGTAGTCAGGGACCACTTCCTCTCAGTCTGTCCCACCACTCTCACTGTCGACCTCCACGAGAAGTCCCTACTAGCGGCCGAGAAGGGCATTGTCGCTGTAAGGGCCTCTCGTGGTGACCCGCGCACCCCCATCTTTGAGGGGTGTTCCCCTTCCCCCCTTCTGCCCTCTGTTGCCTCTGCTGCTGCGGCCGACCTCCTTGGTCTTAAGTCGGTCGGTGCGGCGTCTGCCCCTAGTGGGAGACGCCGCCCTGGCAAGGGCAAGGGGGGCAAGGGCACTGGAGGAGCAAGTGGGGGCGGTGGAGGTGGAGGTGGCGGCAGTGGGGGGAGTGGGGGTGGCGGTGGGGGTGGAGGTGGAGGTGGAGGGGTCGGTGGCGGCAGTGGAGGCGGAGGTGGCGGCGGTAGCGGCGGTGGAGGCGGCGGTGGAGGAGGTGGCGGCGGTGGAGGCGGTGGCGGAGGCGGCAGCAGTAGCGGAGGCGGCGGAGGCGGCGGAGGCGGCGGGGGTGGCGGTGGAGCTGGTCGCGGGTCTTCGCAGAGGAGTGGCTCCGGTGGTGCCACGCGCCAGCAGCAGCAGCGCGATCGTGAGGGCCTGTCCCCTCAGCAGCTCCGTGAGTGGTACACTTAGCGTCAGCGTGGTGGGAGCTTTGGTCCCTGCACCTACGTCCTTCGCACCGGCGACCGCGCGGATGAGTAGTGTGGGGGTGCCCACACCGCCCAGCGCTGCTTTGTCCGCCTGACGGACGCTTGGCGTCAGCAGTTCCCGGAGGCCAGTGAGATTCCCCGCTGGGGAGAGCTGTCTAGGGCAGGCGTACCTATCTTTGATCTTGACTTTGATGCTATCCTTGCTGCCATGTATGCTGTGACTATTAGTGATGAGGGTGACTGTTACCGGTGTTTCCCGCCCGACCCGGGCATTGGTACTGCTGCTCTAGGTGCCGGTGA